TTACTCGTGCTCTTCTTTGTCATATGCATGTCCCTAAACGTTTTTGGAGTGATGCGGTCTTTACTGCATGCTATCTCATTAATCGCATGCCATCCTCCATTTTGAATGATGCATCTCCCTTTTCTCTTTTATTTTCCTCATCTCCACCATACTCCTTACCTCTCAAGGTTTTTGGGTGTGTTTGTTATATTCATTCCTTTGATCCTGGTCGTGACAAATTTGACTCTCGCTCTATGAGATGTGTTTTCCTTGGTTATTCTCAAACACAAAAGGGTATCGTTTTTACAATTCTTCTCTACAACGCTATTTTGTAAGTGCAGACATCACCTTCGATGAGTTTACACCTTATTTCCTTGATCATAGCACGTCTCCCGAATCTACTCGGGATCCCGTTAGCTTACCAGTTCCATAGCTACCAGTTGGCATTTCTCCAGAACCAGTCTCGTCTTCATCTACTATACCAGGGTCCTCATCTTCTCATAAGGACCCACCTCCTACTTTACAGGTTTATACCAGACGATCTAAGACACCACCACCCGTAGCCCCATCCAGCGCCTTGCCGTCTTCAGATCCTACTTCTGTCGTCTGTTCCGATACTGAATCCTTGCCCATTGCTCTCCGCAAAGGTAAACGTACTTGTGTAACTAAATATCCTATTAGCCACTATGTCACTCTTAATTCGTTGTCACCTTCATTTTCTTGTTTCACAGCCCAACTTTCTGGTGTTTTTGTACCTAAGACAGTGACAGAAGCTTTATCTGATCCTAAGTGGCGAAAGGCTATGAAATTGGAAATGACAGCCTTACACGAGAATCAGACTTGGGGCCTTCACCACCTGGTATTCGTCCCATTGGTAATAGATGGGTTTATGTTCCGAAGTTCAATCCTGATGGGACTGTTGATCGGTTGAAAGCTCGATTGGTTGCTAAGGGCTACACACAAACCTATGGTGTTGATTATGATGAGACGTTCTCTCCGGTTGCTAAGATCTCATCTATTCGAGTTTTGATTTCTATTACTGCTAATCTTGATTCGCCATTGTTTCAGTTGGATATTAAAAATGCCTTTCTTCATGGTGATTTGCACGAAGAGGTCTATATGGAGCAATCACCTGGGTTTGTTGCTCAGGGAGAGTACCAGAACTATGTTTGTAAGTTGAAAAATACTTTATATGGGTTAAAACAATCACCGAGGGCATGGTTTGGAAAGTTTTCCGAGGTTGTTCTAAAATTTGGTCTTCAAAGGTGTCAGACAGATCATTCAGTATTTTATCTACAAATTGGTGCAGGTCGTATTATCCTTGTAGTTTATGTAGATGATATTGTAATAACTGGTGATGATGCAAATGGGATTGCTCGATTGAAACAGTTTCTACAAAAACATTTACAGACCAAAGATCTAGACAAGCTTCGATATTTTTTGGGTATTGAAGTTGCTAGGTCTCGGGCAGGCATCAACTTATCTTAGAGAAAATATGTACTTGACCTGTTAGATGAGACAGGTTTTCTTGGAGCTCATCCAATTGATACCCCTATGAATCCTAATGTGCTTTTGAAGGATGAAAGAGAATCATTTGCAGAACAACGAAAATATCGTCGTTTGGTTGGAAAGTTGAATTATCTTACTATCACACGACCAGATATTTCTTATGCAGTCAGCATTGTTAGTCAGTTCTTGGATACTCCTCGAGTTTCTCATTGGGAAGCTGTGATACGTATTATTCGGTATTTGAAAAAGGCTCCAGGTCTTGGATTGTTGTATAAACCAAATGGAAATATCAGAATAGAAGGATTTACAGATGCAGATTGGGCAGGTTCTCCGTCAGATAGACGATCTACTACTGGATTCTGTACTTTTCTCGGTGGTAATCTTGTCTCTTGAAAAAGTAAGAAACAAACTGTGGTTGCAAGATCAAGTGCAGAAGCGGAATATAGGGCGATGGCTCATACTGCTAGTGAATTGACGTGGTTGCAGCACTTTCTTCAAGAAATCAATCTTTCACCCTCTACTCCTATACCGATATTCTGTGATAATCAGGCTGCTTTACATATTGCATTTAATCCAGTTTTCCATGAAAGGACCAAGTATATTGAAGTCAACTGTCACTTTATTCGGGACAAGATAGTATGTGGTGACATATGTACACAATTTGTGAAGACCGGAGACCAACTTGCTGAAATGTTTACAAAATCATTGAACAGTAATCGGTTGAGATTTCTGTGTTCCAAGCTGGGTTTATATGATATATGTACTCCAACTTGAGGGAGAGTGTTAAGGAAGAAAATCAATTAGAAATAATGTGTATTAGGCAAGAATATTATTTGGTATATTTAGTTTCCATATATGTACGTGATTCATTCTCAATATAAATAGAAGGGGAGAGGAGACGAAGAGTAGATTTTTTCTCTCTCAGTTTATGCAAATTAATATTCAGAACATAACCAAAAGCTGGCCTTCGAGATCATGTCATCACCAATATATGTCCTCATTATTTTTGTCATTCAAATAGAGCTTTGATTGATTTCTTTCCAAAATGGAACTGAAGTGTAATATTTTTCTATTTCGCAGAGCCACTCCTCTGCCCTAACTGATGATGAATCGAAGATTGTTTGTATTGGAAAAAATGGATTTGAGAAGATAATCCGGACAGTTTATGCAGAGAAGAAGGTTGATTTTTTTGTACTTCTATTCATTAAGTAGGCTATACATCAAAGTCTAGCTCCGTTTTCTTTTTCACCTCTCTTTATATTCATATCTTGCACCTCAGGCTGAGCTCAACAGTGGCTTTTATGAAGCAATGCGAAAAGAACTTGAATATGATGTTGAAGAAATACGAACGGAACTAAATCAAGTATGTCAATATCTCTAATTGTTGATACAAATTTTGTTTCTATGTTTTGCTGCCACTGTAAAATGTTAGTAAAATCTCGATTTGTTAAAATTTCTTGGTTTTTTATGCATAGACTGTGGGGAGAAATCAACCAGCATTATCTAGTGGTAATTGTTTGCAGGTGGACAAACCCAAAAATCTTCGAGATTTCTCTGCGATCAGAAAGAATTATACTGCAAAGCTAGATCAGGTATCTAGAAATAGACTATGAAATTTTCTTGCATGAGTGTAACTTCTGGTCAAGTTCTCATTTTGATGAATGGTTTTTCTTCGCCTACCAGTGATCTTGGTGTATAGGCAACAGAAGGAGCACATTGTAGTTCTATACTTCTATTGATCAATTTGATTTTTGTAGATCCAAGTTCTATAGGCCATTGTTGATGAATGAAGCGCTTGAGTGCAGAACTTGCACGTTGTTGCACAGTCTATTTCTTAAGCTTGTTTTATTGCACTGCAGGCCTTTAGAAGAGCGTCAGTTTGCATGTTACCTGAGTTTGAATATGGCCAATCTTCTTATTCCTTATTCTAGGATGTTTCTTTAGGATCATGAGCAATATTCTGCTATCTTCTTATTTTATAAGTTCATAGGGGTATCAATTTAGAGATGCATCTGTGCACTATATTTTAGTCAGTTCTTAAGGGATAAAGCAAAAAGAGTGATGTGTGCAACTTGTCTAAATGACAAAACCCTTTACGTCTAAATTCTCAAGGATCCAAATTCCTCAATTCATTAATCTATATCTGGAATACAATTTTAACGTCTGAGCTCTCATATAGTCCTAAAATGATAAAGATTATAACCCAAAATGTATTTTTATAATTAAACATTTTTATTTGATAGATTCTTGGGAATTTGGGAATTCTTGTCAACTTTCCTGCAAGATGAATTAAACTTGTATAAAAAATCTCAATTGTTGACTAGACTAATTTCTGCCAACTTATAGTCAGAGAAGCGCAAGCAAGATCTTCTCGCTGAAATATTGCTAGAGGAGCAACGAGGCCAGGAGCTCTCCAAGATTGTCAGAGATTTACTTCCGGATTCAAAGACTTCATCTGTTGCTCAGAAGCCATTCCGAGCTAGAAAGGTGCGTTAGATAACTTATTGGTTTTGATCATAGCGATCATTTTTATATCGATGATGTATGGTGTTAAAACAAAAATATTCACTTTTGGCCTTTTCATTATTCCAGAGAAATAATGAGAAAAGTTGGGCGTCACAGCAATTGAGTGAGGAGGCCGAAAAATATTTCGAGGACTTCATTTCAAATGTTGAAGATACAGACATATCTTCATTTGATGGCGAAAGAAGTGATGGAAGTTCGACCCTGGGGGGCGCCAGAAAGGCAAGAGATTCTTCAACAAGAGAAGTAGAGAGCTATCAAAGTCCAGCAGGATCTATTAGTTGTCCTGTTGAAATGGAGGGTGTTCTTTTACCTTGGTTGAAGTGGGAGACTAGTCCCGATGGTTCTGTTTCAGGCAAGAATAAAGAACAGACTCCTCTCTCTCCAAAACCACTGCAGTGGGACTTAGAAAAGGTAACTTTTAACTTGCATGCATTTGCAGCTATGATCGTGCACATCCCTACAGCATGTTTGGCTAGACTAAGTAAGTTTTCAGTTAAATAATATTTTTAGTTCTGAAAGTAGGAAATAAGTTGCTGATTTTGATGGTAAGATAATGGATATTTTCAAAATAAGTACTTTTTTTTCCTTCTTTTTTTTTTTTTTTTTTTTTTTTTAAAAAAAATTCTTTTTTTTTTTTTTTTTTTTTTTTTTTTTTTTTTTTTTTAAATCTTTGCCACTAGAAGACAAAAAACTAAAAGCTAGAAGTAAAAAGGAAGTTATTCAAACATGTTTGGAAACAAAAGTAAATTAGTCCCTATTTGTTAGATATTCTTTATAACTCATTTTTTCTGAGACCCATATTCAACCACACATTATTCCAATGGAATAAGTTTGCACATGGATACATAATTTTTTCCTACTTTTTAATCACACATTCTCCAAAAACATCACTTTTTATAAAATATACTCTCCAAAATATATACAAAATAGGATCTTAACCAAACAAGCTACTAATTTGTCCAAAACCTTTTTATCCTTTTTTATATCAGTTATACATATTAAATTTTTGCATTAGTAGCTCGTAATGAGTTACATAAATGTGGGGCAACTTGTATTGCCCAACTTTGTTCATCATTTTGAAAGCGTGTTCATTTTGTGAAGGTGGATTGTACTATGCTCGACATTAAAAGAAAAAGAAGCTAACATATTGAGCATGTTCAGCAAAAAAGTAGATTTTGGACCGAGAAATTGTGTTTAACAAAATCCACTCTGTAGCTTACAAGTCAAATAAAAGTTGGGACCCACAAATTGTGGTGACCAATTTGTGTGGATTTTGGTTAACACAGTTTGTTGGTCTCCCAACTTATAAGAAGCTACTTTTTTACCAAATATGTGTACATTGTACTATCAAAATATTATCCAATACTGTATATCAAACATGCTTTTCATGTTCTGTAATATGCTAGGTCCTTGCCCATGCATGGAGTTTCTTTTGTTTCAATTATACCATTAATGTGTCTGTTGATTTCTTCGTCATAATTATCAATTTCATGAACTTAAATTTTATGCAGGATGGGATCTCAATAAATGACCCAAGCATTCATTCTACGAGCAGTAATGGGAGTTGGAGTCCTGGATACTTAAATAGTCCTCCTTTAAATACAAGAGAAGAGAATGAAGGCAAAACCAGACAATTTGTCGACAAACAAGTATCCCATTTTAACATGGACGAATACCTTAAACTTGGGAAGAGTGAGGAACTCTTGTTCGAAATGTATAATGAACGAAACCGAATTAATTCGGGTGGGCTTTTGCTTTGTAACAATGTATTGCAATTATTTTCTTGGTAAATTCACGTTCCCATGTTGAACGGCTTCAAATATATATAGTTTTATTTTTCAGATAGTAAGATTTATCTTTATAAATTGTGTCTTGTGCTATTTTATACATTCTTCGTGGTTCCTACCAAGCACATCACGTTGACCCGGCCTGACTTGATGGTGTTGACTGTTTAATTGCATTTTGACAAGTAATACATTGTACTTCTCATTGCCTCCAAAAATTAACTTTTTGTTCTATGTAGTATTAAAATGTTTTTATGATGCTAACAACATTGATAAATTGATTATGTGAAAAGAAAATATATGCATTTATAAACTGTTGAATTTCTTTCATTAATATCAAGTGTGCATTAATTAAAGTTCTCTTTATAATTTATCCTAACCTAAATAATGGTAAAGTTTATCCTAATTTATAGTAAATCTTCTTAACTAACAAAATCCAGAAATGAACTGCTTCAGTTCTAGTAGAAACCGGACTCTAAAACATAATCCAGCTACAGATAAGCCTCAAATATCTGTAAAAAGTTCATTTCTAGTTATCAAACTACTTATTTTGGTGAACAAATTAAGTTAAAAGTGCAAGCAAAAAGAATATGGAGATTGATCTATCACAGACTAAGGTAACAGTTTCTCCTAAGGAGAAAGATCTTAATGATTGGCTCCCCGTAACATCGTCTAGGAATGGAAAATGGTGGTATTCGGCTTTCCACAATGTCACAGCTATGGTCGGTGCTGGAGTCCTTGGCCTCCCCTTTGCCATGTCCGAACTCGGATGGTATGTGTTCATGTAGCCGACATCAAATTTATTGAGAACGAGTTTTAGTTTATTTCTTTGTATATCTGTAGGGGACCAGGAGCTGCCATAATGATCCTATCATGGGTCATTACTCTGTACACACTATGGCAAATGGTCGAAATGCACGAAATGGTGCCCGGTAAACGGTTCGACCGGTACCACGAACTTGGCCAGCAAGCATTTGGGGAAAAACTCGGGCTTTGGATCGTCGTACCACAGCAACTAATGGTGGAAGTTGGAGTGAATATAGTGTATATGATTACTGGAGGAAAATCTCTTAAGAAATTTCATGATACAGTGTGCCCAAATTGCAAGCAAATAAGATTAACCTATTTTATTATGATATTTGGCTCTGTACATTTTGTTCTTTCTCATCTTCCCAGTTTTAACTCCATTACTGGAATCTCTCTTGCTGCAGCAATCATGTCATTCAGGTAATGCATTCTTTTTTAAGTTATAGAACAACATGATAAGTTTAAAAATACTGGGAAACGTAAATTTAGTCCTCAACACGTCTCTACATCCCCATTTAATGCAGAGACTTATAGAGAAATGACACGTTTGTTTACTTTTCAATGATATGATATTTATTGCTTTATTGTTCGCCAGTTATTCGACTATAGCATGGGTAGCCTCGGCCCGTCAAGGGGTTCAACCGGAGGTATCATATGCCCCGAGGGCATCCACTAGTACTGGGAGAGTGTTCCAATTCTTTAGTGCATTGGGAGATGTAGCTTTCGCCTTTGCCGGTCACAATGTAGTCCTCGAAATTCAAGCAACGATCCCTTCAACTCCCGAGAAACCATCGAAGAAACCCATGTGGAAAGGAGTGTTAATAGCTTATATCGTCGTTGCTATGTGTTACTTCCCGGTTGCCTTTTGCGGTTATGCCGTGTTCGGGAAGAATGTAGAGGACAATATCCTTGTATCACTGGAGAAACCAGCATGGCTTATTGCTGCAGCTAACTTGTTTGTTGTAGTCCATGTTATTGGAAGTTATCAGGTATCGTTTGAGTTCATTTTCACCACAGATGGCCCGTTATTATTATTATTGATGACCGTTCCATGTTATTGCATGGATTCAGGTTTTTGCTATGCCTGTCTTCGACATGGTGGAATCGTGCTTGGTGAGGAAGATGAATTTCAAGGCAACTCGACGACTTCGTATTTTTACTCGTACCTCTTACGTTGGTAAGTACATGTTTAATACGCAATACATGTACTTTATAAATATTTCTTTCTCAAATCAATGTAGCATATCAAACTGTATTTGATCTTCCCTAGCTCTTTTTCTCTTGACTAATAATTCAAGAAAGTACTGAATGAGTCCGCACACAAGATGCAAATAATACAATTTTTATTCTCCGTCTCTAAACTATGTTTTCACATCATTTTAATCGATCATTAACTTAACACATTGCGGTGAATGCAGCCCTCACAATGTTTCTTGGAATGACATTCCCTTTCTTTGGTGGGCTTCTTGGCTTCTTTGGAGGGTTTGCTTTTGCTCCAACAACGTATTACGTAAGTTACTACACTTTATTTCACAACTAATTACTCATTAAGTTAACTAAGATTAAAGAAAAGAGATATGTACTCGATAAAGTTCGTCACTTATCTTGTCTAGTTGACAGATGACACGGGTTTAAATTGTGTTTGCAGCTTCCTTGTATCATTTGGTTAGCCATCTACAAACCAAAAAGATTTAGCTTGTCTTGGTTGACCAACTGGGTATGTTCTCCATCCTTCTTCTCGAAAACACACATTTATATGTTTTTATAAATTGTGGGGTTTTTAAATTTTTTTTTCATTAATCATGTATTTTTATTTATTTATTATTATTATTATTTTTAACAGATATGCATTATTCTTGGATTTTTACTGATGATATTAGCCCCTATTGGTGCTTTGAGGCAGCTAGCATTGGATGCCAAGGACTTCGATTTCTATTCTTGATTTATTCATTATTACGAATTACCAAAGTTATTTACACACCTTTATTTTTTTTGCAACGGACTAAACATATTTTTGTTTTGTAATATTAATTGTTTGGGTTAGTTAAATTATTATTGTGATTATGTTACATTCATTCAAATGTTTTTTCGTCATAGTACATTTGTTATGCAATATTTGACGAAAATGATATACTATTATTACAATTCAATCAAGCTTATGAAAATTTTCAAGACGATATAATTAATTCTAAATAGCTCAAGTTGATCGGTAGGAAGTCAAAAAAGTTTTTACTCTACAATCGGAATCCTCTTCGACCCATATATGATTTCAAGATGCATGTCTTTAGTTATATGATTCTATTTTTCTTTTTCGTGAAATAACAATTGCATACCATTTTTCTTCTTCTAAAGTCAGTACGATCTTTATTCGATTACTTTAACCACAAATCGACCAATGAAAGATGGGATATTTAACAAACTTCAATCCCTCCCAAACTACATAGCACGAAGCAACGGAGAAAAAAGATGATAGAAAACCGACATTGATTTTGCAAAAGTGAGCCGAAGCTCGATATTAAAGGGTATATGAAAAATTGTAAATTATTTAATTAAAAAGTTTACTTTCAAAAAATATGTATTTTAATTAATTTCAGGACAGTATTGTGCACATAACACTCTTGACAATTCTCTCACACATGAGGACCCTCATGTGAGAGGATTGTATAGTCAACATGGACTGTACAAGGAAAAAAATCCTTAATTTCAACTTTCATAAATAAAAAATGATTTATTTTAACTTATTTACTTACAAGTAAATTATTTTGAAGCTTAGCCAAACATTATCTTTGGGAGAGTGTTGGCTTCACACTTCATTCTCTGCCCAAAATGCAAACTTTCCTTATCCCTTCCTCCTTGACTCCTCTTCCCCCTAAACCCCTCTTTAAACCCCTACAAATTTCTCAACCCCAATTCCCATACAAAACCATCAAAACCATTCGAGCGTACTCCTCTGACGAGTACCCAGTCGGCGATGACGACGCTTTTCTTGCATCATTTGGGCCAAAGGAGAAAGAATCTGAAGAAGATGCCCGAAAAAGGAACTGGGTTGAAAGGGGATGGGCTCCATGGGAAGAAATTCTGACCCCAGAAGCTGATTTTGCTCGAAAGTCCCTTAATGAAGGCGAAGAAGTGCCGCTTCAATCGTCTGAAGCAATTGAGGCGTTCAAAATGTTGAGTCCCAATTATCGGAAAAAGAAAATTGCGGAAATGGGGCTTACGGAAGATGAGTATTACGCTAAACAGTTTGAAATTAAGGGGGAAATACCGGATCCATTGCAGACGGGTTGGAGTGGGCCTTTGGTGTTGAGGCATGTGCCGCCAAGGGACTGGCCGCCGAGGGGGTGGGAGGTGGATATGGAGGAATTGGAGTTTATACGTGGCGCGCACAAGTTGCAAACCACGGTGAGAGTGGATTATGAGAAGGTGGAGGAAATGGTGGAGAGGGATACCGGGCATATGTGCTTGGAGAGGTATGAGATGTTCTTAAAGCAATATAAGGAGTGGGCAGCTGCAAATAGGGATCGTTTGGAGGAGGAGTCTTATAAGGTTAATTAAATTGTGATGATTTTTATACATGCTTCATTGTTTTGGTTCTTTTTGCTGCTTTCTTATCGTGTTTTGGATGATTAATTAAATTGGAGAATTAATATGTGTGAACTTTTGGTTCAATTTATGATTATACTCTTCTTGTCATTGCTTTGGTTCTTTTTATGAGTTGTTTATCGTGTTTGCAATGATTTATTGTATTGAGTAACTAATGTGTGTAAATTTTTGGTGTCTTCTTTTGATTTATGATCTAAGTTTTTTTAGTAGAATTCTTTGAAAGCAAGAATGAAATAGGTATAGGATTGTATGTAGCTGCATATAAATATATTCAGCTAATTAAAGTTCCATGTTTTTCGAACTCTTTTGCATGTGGAGGTTGCGCAATGATTCAATGAATTAAGGTTTCGAAATTTAGAGCATGATTTGTGTGCAATTTTGATTTTTGTATCTTTTTGATAAACAGATATTTTGGAAGTTTCTTGAGCACCGATGATAACCATATTTGGTAGCCTTAAATTGTGATGATTTGATACACGCATAATTGTTTTGGATCTTTTTGCGACTTGCTTATCATGTTTTCAATGGTTTATTGGATTGATGAATTTGTATGAATGTTTGTTGTGTCTCAATATAATTTATGATTATGGGGTTTTTGTTAGAACTGTTGGAAAGCAAGAATTAATTGGTTTGGTAATGTATGTAGCTACATATAAATATATCCAGCTAATTAATATTTCATCATTTTTGAGCTTTTTGCATGTGGAGTTTGCGCAATGGTTCAATGAAATAAGCTATAGAGGCAGAAAGCTAGTTTTCAAGTAGTTTGGATTTTGTATCTTGTCGATAAACATATATTTTGGTAGTAACTTGAGATGTCAAAGAGGCTTCTTACTTTCCAAACATATCCCAAATAGAAGCAAATTTGGTATATCCTTGTTAGAGTAGGAAGATCATCTTTGATTTTGCCATACAAAATAATTGACTTGTGGGTTTTTGTCATCTATGCAGTATGACCAAGATTATTATCCTGGTAGGAGGAAAAGGGGAAAGGATTATGATGAAGAAATGGTAAGATGAATATAGTGCTTCTTGAACACCACCCTCCTTTCAGATTTCATGAAGTTGATTTGCATCATGAACTGATGAGCTCACTGTTTTCTTTCCTGTTATGCAGTATGAACTTCCATTTTATTACCCGGGACAAGTAAGTAATATCTATTTTATCAGTTTTGTCCTATTTTTGTTGGAAATTTCAAAACTTTCCTATTTTTTGGCAGCCAAATAATTTTTTATTTTTTCACTCTGAAGACCGCGATATTTCGTCATTCAAAACTCTATATAACTCTTTCGTATCATTATCGATTTTAAGTTGTGGATCTCTCGATTAGAGAAAATGAACTAAAATTGCCCTCTATATGTAGTGTAGGTTGCTCTCCTTAATCCAATTCACTAAGCTTCCATTTGGCTAATTTATTAATAATCTATAACTCATTTATAAAAGGCCAAACTTCATTTTCAACTACATATTCGAATGGACCCCAAAGTACTATTCACTTATTCACCACTCATTTCCATCCATTTTTAAATCAAAATATTTATAAATTCTTCCCAAATGGAGGCTAAATGTTTTAAATTTTAAATAAAAACAATTATAAGGTGTGTATCTGTCATTGGACTCTTGGCCAATAGAATTAAAATAATACTGGTGAGTTTATGTGCTGACATTGTGTCTGCACCTATTACCAGTGTTTCCTCTTTTTCTTTTAAGGTTCTTGGCATCTCATGTGTGATCAGCATTCTCTACTAGTACGATTTCCTGTTAAAAATTCTGGGAAATTTTGATTGAAAACAATGGTAAAATGCACACCATTTAGCGGTTATGCACTGCTTTCCATAGTGGGTATGTACGTAGATAATCACAAGTCATTCATGCTTATCTGAAATTTTACATTATTTGGTTGAATACAACCTGATTAGGAGTTCCTTATTTTAACTTGTCTTTTGCTGCGTGTTCGTGAGAAATGTTTTCCCAGATTTGTGCAGGTAAAGTAACTGCATTACAGCTTTATCAAGGAGCATTTGTTGATATTGGAGGCGTCCATGACGGGTATATATGCTACCCTATGCTTACGCTGATATCACGATATATGTGATTGATGCTTGCTTTGTTTCATCAACTGTTTGAAGTAACGCTTTGTTCCAACTTGAATTTTAGAAACAAGTTCTTTTAGACTTTTTTAAAATAAGGCACACTTCAGTCAAGTGGTGAATCTGATACCTTCTTTTAGTATAATGTAGAAGAACATAGAAGACCATCCGCCTTTAGGCCCCAATTACTAGTAAAGTATCGTTCGTTTCGGACTCATACAAAGCTATTCAAATTTTTTAAAACTTGCAATTGCTTTAAGTGTACGACGGATGGTGTTGTTACCTCTCTGTATATGAATATGTTCCTTTCCAGCTCTTCATTGTAATAATGATGCATTTTTCAGGTGGGTTCCAATAAAACGCAATGACTGGTATTGGATCCGTCATCACATCAAAGTTGGTATGCACGTCATCGTTGAAATTTTGGTGAGTCAGCCTTTGTTGATCTCTGTTACCTATATTCACACTATTGCAATTTTAGCACTTTGAGCTAACTTGTACAGTGGAGGTACAACCCCAAGATAGGAAGTGGGTTTAGTAGTTGTAGGAAGTGGGTTTAGTAGTTGATTGGAATATAATGATATATTTAGTAGGGGTTAATAATATGAGTGATGAGTCGTAGAGATGTATTCTGCTGAAAATTGACGAGCAAAAACAACCCATATTTGCCTCTAGATGCACCCCTCAGGAATAGTGCTACGTTAGTGTTAATGCTGAACTTAGAGGAGCAACCCTTACAACATTGTCCAGGGATGTGATGTGCGGGCTTCTGAAGTGAGAACAAGATCAAAGAATTCTTGGTTATGAGTCTAGATCCTCATTAAGAAAATGACTTATGACATTATCGAGAAGAAAAGAAGAGAAACAATTCCATATTTGCAGCATCTCTACCTGTTCTAGCATTATGTTACTTCACATGTTAGCCCATGTTTCTAACTCCTAATTTTTTTCCCCTTTTACGAAGTTCTCATTGTGAAGATTTCTATTTAGACATTTTATCGTTTTTTATTGTTGACTTGTTTAACAATAATTGACTAATTAAATATGTTAATTTCATGCGTTATGTAATTTCCCATGTCTGCAGGCAAAGCGAGATCCATATCGGTTTCGGTTTCCTATTGAACTGCGCTTTGTTGATCCGAACATAGATCACTTAATGTATGCCTACAAATGCTTCTTGAACTTTTCGTTTTGAGTGATTCCACTCTCTAATATTGTCCTATTGTATATTTGCTGTTTCCTTCATTTCTGAAAGGTCAACATCATTTATATTTTTCAATCTGTACAAGTCTGTATGCTTGAGAGAGTCGTCACGAATTATATCACCCATTCTCTAATATTTTACACCGACTTGTGCTGGCAGCTTCAACAGATTTGAATTTCCACCTATCTTTCACCGGGATGAGGATGTTAATCCAGATGAGTTACGTGTGAGTAAACTCTTCTATGTAAAGCATCAAGCCTGATTTGTCCTTTCAATATGTATGAACGTTAATGCATATGCTATTAAGTGCCAGTGCAAATTGCATCAATCAGTTTACTGTATGGAAGACATTTATCCTTTGATTGGTTTTGACTTTGATAGATGGCATGGTGATACAAATGCTTAGATAAATACAACTTCTAACACTTTAGCTAGATCCAAAGAACAGATAACATTAATTCATAATGTCAACCAGTGGCCCTGTATTACATTATTTTGATAACATGTGATTGAAAATTAAGAAAGCATATCTTAATGTATTCTAAGTTCTAGTTGTATTTCCTCTATGAAATTAATAAACAAAAGGTTTCAAGCATCACAAACCAAGTGTTGGATTTATTAAAGCCAGCGGTTATGATTGAATCAATGTCTAACAAATTTCATCTTTAGGAGTTTTAGGACCGATTTCATTAAAAGCTTATGCTTTGGCATTGTTTCCCTTTTGCAGCGTGATTGTGGAAGACCTCCTGTTCCTAGAAAAGATCCTGATATCAAGGTGGAGGAGGAACCTCTGTTATCAAATCACCCTTATGTTGATAAGGTATCCTTGTATGTGATTCATGTGACGTGAAAAGGCAGTCTAAGAGGGCCATTGCAGGGTTAATACATATATCATTTATGCTTATGAATCCCTTTTTGCTAAGTCATGCATAATTTGGGTGTACTTTTGCACCATCTCCATAGTGAGTATCAGCATTGGCCAGTGAATTTTATTTTCTGTTCAAGTCAGCCCACAATTTGATATCACTAGAGTTATTGATGCCAGATTGTGCATGCTTTTCACTGGAAGCATGTTGTTTTTTTTCCCCCATGTAGCCTTTTTTATATCAGTTATACATATTAAATTTTTGCATTAGTAGCTCGTAATGAGTTACATAAATGTGGGGCAACTTGTATTGCCCAACTTTGTTCATCATTTTGAAAGCGTGTTCATTTTGTGAAGGTGGATTGTACTATGCTCGACATTAAAAGAAAAAGAAGCTAACATATTGAGCATGTTCAGCAAAAAAGTAGATTTTGGACCGAGAAATTGTGTTTAACAAAATCCACTCTGTAGCTTACAAGTCAAATAAAAGTTGGGACCCACAAATTGTGGTGACCAATTTGTGTGGATTTTGGTTAACACAGTTTGTTGGTCTCCCAACTTATAAGAAGCTACTTTTTTACCAAATATGTGTACATTGTACTATCAAAATATTATCCAATACTGTATATCAAACATGCTTTTCATGTTCTGTAATATGCTAGGTCCTTGCCCATGCATGGAGTTTCTTTTGTTTCAATTATACCATTAATGTGTCTGTTGATTTCTTCGTCATAATTATCAATTTCATGAACTTAAATTTTATGCAGGATGGGATCTCAATAAATGACCCAAGCATTCATTCTACGAGCAGTAATGGGAGTTGGAGTCCTGGATACTTAAATAGTCCTCCTTTAAATACAAGAGAAGAGAATGAAGGCAAAACCAGACAATTTGTCGACAAACAAGTATCCCATTTTAACATGGACGAATACCTTAAACTTGGGAAGAGTGAGGAACTCTTGTTCGAAATGTATAATGAACGAAACGGAATTAATTCGGGTGGGCTTTTGCTTTGTAACAATGTATTGCAATTATTTTCTTGGTAAATTCACGTTCCCATGTTGAACGGCTTCAAATATATATAGTTTTATTTTTCAGATAGTACCCTAAATTGTGTCTTGTGCTATTTTATACATTCTTCGTGGTTCCTACCAAGCACATCACTGTTGACCCGTCCTGACTTGATGGTGTTAACTGTTTAATTGCATTTTGACAAGTAATACATTGTACTTCTCATTGCCTCCAAAAAATAACTTTTTGTTCTATGTAGTATTAAAATGTTTTTATGATGCTAACACCCTAAATTGTGTCTTGTGCTATTTTATACATTCTTCGTGGTTCCTACCAAGCACATCACTGTTGACCCGTCCTGACTTGATGGTGTTAACTGTTTAATTGCATTTTGACAAGTAATACATTGTACTTCTCATTGCCTCCAAAAAATAACTTTTTGTTCTATGTAGTATTAAAATGTTTTTATGATGCTAACAACATTGATAAGTTGATTATGTGAAAAGAAAATATATGCATTTATAAACTGTTGAATTTCTTTCATTAATATCAAGTGTGCATAAATTAAAGTTCTCTTTATAATTTATCCTAACCTAAATAATGCTAAAGTTTATCCTAATTTATAGTAAATCTTCTTAACTAACAAAATCCAGAAATGAACTGCTTCAGTTCTAGTAGAAACCGGACTCTAAAACATAATCCAGCTACAGATAAGCCTCAAATATCTGTAAAATGTTCATTTCTAGTTATCAAACTACTTATTTTGGTGAACAAATTAAGTGAAAGTGCAAGCAAAAAGAATATGGAGATTGATCTATCACAGACTAAGGTAACAGTTTCTCCTAAGGAGAAAGATCTTAATGATTGGCTCCCCGTAACATCGTCTAGGAATGGAAAATGGTGGTATTCGGCTTTCCACAATGTCACAGCTATGGTCGGTGCTGGAGTCCTTGGCCTCCCCTTTGCCATGTCCGAACTCGGATGGTATGTGTTCATGTAGCCGACATCAAATTTATTGAGAACGAGTTTTAGTTTATTTCTTTGTATATCTGTAGGGGACCAGGAGCTGCCATAATGATCCTATCATGGGTCATTACTCTGTACACACTATGGCAAATGGTCGAAATGCACGAAATGGTGCCCGGTAAACGGTTCGACCGGTACCATGAACTTGGCCAGCAAGCATTTGGGGAAAAACTCGGGCTTTGGATCGTCGTACCACAGCAACTAATGGTGGAAGTTGGAGTGAATATAGTGTACATGATTACTGGAGGAAAATCTCTTAAGAAATTTCATGATACAGTGTGCCCAAATTGCAAGCAAATAAGATTAACCTATTTTATTATGATATTTGGCTCTGTACATTTTGTTCTTTCTCATCTTCCCAGTTTTAACTCCATTACTGGAATCTCTCTTGCTGCAGCAATCATGTCATTCAGGTAATGCATTCTTTTTTAAGTTATAGAAAAACATGATCTAAAAGTTTAAAAATACTGGGAAATGTAAATTTAGTCCTCAACACGTCTCTACATCCCTATGTAATGTAGAGACTTACAGAGAAATGACACGTTTATTTAAATTTGAATTACTTTTCAATGATATGATATTTATTGCTTTATTGTTCGTCAGTTATTCGACTATAGCATGGGTAGCCTCGGCCCGTCAAGGGGTTCAACTGGAGGTATCATATGCCCCGAGGGCATCCACTAGTACTGGGAGAGTGTTCCAATTCTTTAGTGCATTGGGAGATGTAGCTTTCGCCTTTGCTGGTCACAATGTAGTCCTCGAAATTCAAGCAACGATCCCTTCAACTCCCGAGAAACCATCGAAGAAACCCATGTGGAAAGGAGTGTTAATAGCTTATATCGTCGTTGCTATGTGTTACTTCCCGGTTGCCTTTTGTGGTTATGCCGTGTTCGGGAAGAATGTAGAGGACAATATCCTTGTATCACTAGAGAAACCAGCATGGCTTATTGCTGCAGCTAACTTGTTTGTTGTAGTCCATGTTATTGGAAGTTATCAGGTATCGTTTGAGTTCATTTTCACCACAGATGGCCCGTTATTATTATTATTGATGACCGTTCTATGTTATTGCATGAATTCAGGTTTTTGCTATGCCTGTCTTCGACATGGTGGAATCGTGCTTGGTGAGGAAGATGAATTTCAAGCCAACTCGACGACTTCGTATTTTTACTCGTACCTCTTACGTTGGTAAGTACATGTTTAATACGCAGTACATGTACTTTATATATATTTCTTTCTAAAATCAATGTAGCATATCAAACTGTATTTGATCTTCCATAGCTCTTTTTCTCTTGACTAATAATTCAAGAAAGTACTGAATGAGTCCGCACACATTATGCAAATAATACAATTTTTATTCTACGTCTCTAAACTATGTTTTAACATCTTTAATCGATCATTAACTTAACACGTTGCGGTGAATGCAGCCCTCACAATGTTTCTTGGAATGACATTCCCTTTCTTTGGTGGGCTTCTTGGCTTCTTTGGAGGGTTTGCTTTTGCTCCAACAACGTATTACGTAAGTTACTACACTTTATTTCACAACTAATTACTCATTAAGTTAAACTAAGATTAAAGAAAAGAGGTATGTACACGGTAAAGTTCGTCACTTGTCTTGTCTAGTTGACATATGACACGTGTTTAAATTGTGTTTGCAGCTTCCTTGTATCATTTGGCTAGCCATCTACAAACCCAAAAGATTTAGCTTGTCTTGGTTGACCAACTGGGTATGTTCTCCATCCTTAAACTTTCACGAAAACACACATTTATATGTTTTTATAAATTGTGGGGTTTTTTAATTTTTTTTCATTAATCATGTATTTTTATTTATTTATTTATTATTATTATTTTTTTAACAGATATGCATTATTCTTGGATTTTTACTGATGATATTAGCCCCTATTGGTGCTTTGAGGCAGCTAGCATTGGATGCCAAGGACTTCGATTTCTATTCTTGATTTATTCATTATTACGAATTACCAAAGTTATTTACACACCTTTATTTTTTTTTGCAACGGACTAAACATATTTTTATTTTGTAAGATTAATTGTTTGGGTTAGTTAAATTATTATTGTGATTATGTTACATTCATTCAAATGTTTTTTCGTCATAGTACATTTGTTATGCAGTATTTGACGAAAATGATATACTATTATTACAATTCAATCAAGCTTATGAAAATTTTCAAGATGATGTAATTAATTCTAAATAGCTCAAGTTGGTCGGTAGGAAGTCAAAAAAGTTTTCACTCTACAATCGGAATCCTCTTCGACCCATATACGACTTCAAGATGCATGTCTTTAGTTATATGATTCTATTTTACTTTTTCGTGAAATAACGGTTGCATACCATTTTTCTTCTTCTAAAGTCCGTACGATCTTTATTCGATTACTCTAACCACAAATCGATGAAAGATGGGATATTTAACAAACTTCAATCCCTCCCAAACTACATAGCACGCAGCAACGGAGAAAAAAGGTGATAGAAAACCGACATTGATTTTGCAAAAGTGAGCCGAAGCTCAATATTAAAGCGTATATGAAAAATTGTAAATTCTTTAATTAAAAAGTTTACTTTCAAAAAATATGTATATTAATTAATTTCAAGATAGTATTGTGCACACAACACTCTTGACAATTCTCTCACACATGAGGGCCCTCATGTGAGAGGATTGTATAGTCAGCATGGACTGTACAAGGAAAAAAACCCTTAATTTCAACTTTTATAAATAAAAAATGATTTATTTTAACTTATTTACTTACAAGTAAATTATTTTGAAGCTTAGCCAAACATTATCTTTGGGAGAGTGTTGGCTTCACACTTCACTCTCTGCCCAAAATGCAAACTTTCCTTATCCCTTCCTCCTTGACTCCTCTTCCCCCTAAACCCCTCTTTAAACCCCTACAAATTTCTCAACCCCAATTCCCATACAAAACCATCAAAACCATTCGAGCGTACTCCTCTGACGAGTACCCAGTCGGCGATGACGACGCTTTTCTTGCATCATTTGGGCCAAAGGAGAAAGAATCTGAAGAAGATGCCCGAAAAAGGAACTGGGTTGAAAGGGGATGGGCTCCATGGGAAGAAATTCTGACCCCAGAAGCTGATTTTGCTCGAAAGTCCCTTAATGAAGGCGAAGAAGTGCCGCTTCAATCGTCTGAAGCAATTGAGGCGTTCAAAATGTTGAGTCCCAATTATCGGAAAAAGAAAATTGCGGAAATGGGGCTTACGGAAGATGAGTATTACGCTAAACAGTTTGAAATTAAGGGGGAAATACCGGATCCATTGCAGACGGGTTGGAGTGGGCCTTTGGTGTTGAGGCATGTGCCGCCAAGGGACTGGCCGCCTAGGGGGTGGGAGGTGGATATGGAGGAATTGGAGTTTATACGTGGCGCGCACAAGTTGCAAACCATGGTGAGAGTGGATTATGAGAAGGTGGAGGAAATGGTGGAGAGGGATACCGGGCATATGTGCTTGGAGAGGTATGAGATGTTCTTAAAGCAATATAAGGAGTGGGCAGCTGCAAATAGGGATCGTTTGGAGGAGGAGTCTTCTAAGGTTAATTAAATTGTGATGATTTTTATACATGCTTCATTGTTTTGGTTCTTTTTGCTGCTTTCTTATCGTGTTTTGGATGATTAATTAAATTGGAGAATTAATATGTGTGAACTTTTGGTTCAATTTATGATTATACTCTTCTTGTCATTGCTTTGGTTCTTTTTATGAGTTGTTTATCGTGTTTGCAATGATTTATTGTATTGAGTAACTAATGTGTGTAAATTTTTGGTGTCTTCTTTTGATTTATGATCTAAGTTTTTTTAGTAGAATTCTTTGAAAGCAAGAATGAAATAGGTATAGTATTGTATGTAGCTGCATATAAATATATTCAGCTAATTAAAGTTCCATGTTTTTCGAACTCTTTTGCATGTGGAGGTTGCGCAATGATTCAATGAATTAAGGTTTCGAAATTTAGAGCATGATTTGCGTGCAATTTTGAATTTTGTATCTTTTTGATAAACAGATATTTTGGAAGTTTCTTGAGCACCGATGATAACCATATTTGGTAGCCTTAAATTGTGATGATTTGATACATGCATAATTGTTTTGGATCTTTTTGCGACTTGCTTATCATGTTTTCAATGGTTTATTGGATTGATGAATTTGTATGAATGTTTGTTGTGTCTCAATATAATTTGTGATTATGGGGTTTTTGTTAGAACTGTTGGAAAGCAAGAATTAATTGGTTTAGTAATGTATGTAGCTACATATAAATATATCCAGCTAATTAATATTTCATGATTTTTGAGCTTTTTGCATGTGGAGTTTGCGCAATGGTTCAATCAATTAAGCTACAGAGGCAGAAAGCATAGTTTGCAAGTAGTTTGGATTTTGTATCTTGTCGATAAACATATATTTTGGTAGTAACTCGAGATGTCAAAGAGGCTTCTTACTTCCCAAACATATCCCAAATAGAACCAAATTTGGTATCCTTGTTAGAGTAGGAAGATCATCTTTGATTTTGCCATACAAAATAATTGACTTGTGGGTTTTTGTCATCTATGCAGTATGACCAAGATTATTATCCTGGTAGGAGGAAAAGGGGAAAGGATTATGATGAAGAAATGGTAAGATGAATATAGTGCTTCTTGAACACCACCCTCCTTTCAGATTTCATGAAGTTGATTTGCATCATGAACTGATGAGCTCACTGTTTTCTTTCCTGTTATGCAGTATGAACTTCCATTTTATTACCCGGGACAAGTAAGTAATATTTTATCAGTTTTGTCCTATTTTTGTTGGAAATTTCAAAACTTTCCTATTTTTTGGCAGCCAAATAATTTTTTTATTTTTTCACTCTGAAGACCGTGATATTTCATCATTCGAAACTCAAACTCTTTCGTATCATTATCGATTTTAAGTTGTGGATCTCTCGATTAGAGAAAATGAACTAAAATTGCCCTCTATATGTAGTGTAGGTTGTTCTCCTTAATCCAATTCATTAAGCTTCCATTTGGCTAATTTATTAATAATCTATAACTCATTTATAAAAGGCCAAACTTCATTTTCAACTACATATTCAAATGGACCCCAAAGTACTATTCACTTATTCACCACTCATTTCCATCCATTTTTAAATCAAATTATTTATAAATTCTTCCCAAATGGAGGCTAAATGTTTTAAATTTTAAATAAAAACAATTATAAGGTGTGTATCTGTCATTGGACTCTTGGCCAATAGAATTAAAATAATACTGGTGAGTTTATGTGCTGACATTGTGTCTGCACCTATTACCAGTGTTTCCTCTTTTTCTTTTATGGTTCTTGGCATCCCATGTGTGTTCTGCAATTTGCACTTATCAACCCTTATATTTAACTCTTAGTAGTTGAATATGGTTTTATGATCAGCATTCTCTACTAGTACGATTTCCTGTTAAAAATTCGGGAAATTTTGATTGAAAACAATGGTAAAATGCACACCATTTGGCGGTTATGCACTGCTTTCCATAGTGGGTATGTACATAGATAATCACAAGTCATTCATGCTTATCTGAAATTTTACATTATTTGGTTGAATACAACCTGATTAGGAGTTCCTTATTTTAACTTGTCTTTTGCTGCGTGTTCATGAGAAATGTTTTCCCAGATTTGTGCAGGTAAAGTAACTGCATTACAGCTTTATCAAGGAGCATTTGTTGATATTGGAGGCGTCCATGACGGGTATATATGCTACCCTATGCTTACGCTGATAGCACGATATATGTGATTGATGCTTGCTTTGTTTCATCAACTGTTTGAAGTAACGCTTTGTTCCAACTTGAATTTTAGAAACAAGTTCTTTTAGACTTTTTTAAAATAAGGCACATTTCAGTCAAGTGGTGAATCTTATACCTTCTTTTAGTATAATGTGGAAGAACATAGAAGACCATCCGCCTTTAGGCCCCAATTACTAGTAAAGTATCGTTCGTTTCGGACTCATACAAAGCTATTCAAATTTTTTAAAACTTGCAATTGCTTTAAGTGTACGAAGGATGGTGTTGTTACCTCTCTGTATATGAATATGTTCCTTTCCAGCTCTTCATTGTAATAATGATGCATTTTTCAGATGGGTTCCAATAAAACGCAATGACTGGTATTGGATCCGTCATCACATCAAAGTTGGTATGCACGTCATCGTTGAAATTTTGGTGAGTCAGCCTTTGTTGATCTCTGTTACCTATATTCACACTATTGCAATTTTAGCACTTTGAGCTAACTTGTACAGTGGAGGTACAACCCCAAGATAGGAAGTGGGTTTAGTAGTTGATTGGAATATAATGATATATTTAGTAGGGGTTAATAGTATGAGTGATGAGTCGTAGAGACGTATTCTGCTGAAAATTGACGAGCAAAAACAACCCATATTTGCCTCTAGATGCACCCCTCAGGAATAGTGCTACGTTAGTGTT